GAGAAACTGAAATTATTATTAGGAAATTATGGAAACAACTTCCTGGATATGATGACATGATGGTGTGATCATATTCAGTTTAAATGCAGTCAACTATATATCTGTATATATAGTTTTTTTTATTTGCATGTGGTAGCCAATCAGAAGAGTGTTTGGTGAGTGGGAGGTGGGAGCGAAAAAACGACTTCATTAAGAATAAATAAACTGATGCAACCCAGCATCACAGCAAAACGTGTATTCCACAGTGTCCATTTCACACTGTGCCTCTCCAAAATGTGAAATGGACACTCATGCATGCACACATGCAAATGCATTATACATTTGAAGTCAAGAAGTCAGCAGTGAGTAAAAAATGTATGAAGTAGATTCTAAGGTTCGTAATTGGCTGAAACGATGAAGCTAGGCAGCTAATGTGTATTTACATTAGTGCTGTCAGCGTTAATCTAATTAAAAAGACGTTAACGCCATAACTGCATTAACGTGGCAAATGTCTGTTAACGAGTTACCGTAGATCGCCCTGTGCGTGGGGCTGCATGGCGTCAGCGCGGTCCAGCGCCACGCGAGGGGCGATCCGCGGTAACTTGCTAACGGAGATTTGCTGCGTTAATGCAGTTATGCCGTTAACATCTTTTTAACTAGATTAACGCTGACAGCACAAATTTATATGTAAATGTGTTAGTTATGCCTGTTTAAACACAAATAAAATATCCCCCCCGTGCTGTTACTGCAGCTTAGAGCAACTTCTGCACGGACACAGTGGACATGTGTGTCTACTGCACATTTTGCCATGATATCTGTCTGATGAGCTGCACATAGACCAAGTGTAAGACAAATAACAATTATTTTGGACCATGTGCGATGCTGCTTTAGTCCAAAGATTTAAAAAAAGGTTAAAAGTTCTAACAGGTCTCCTTTAACATGTGTCTGCCTAACAAGTCAAAGTAAGTTTGGGTTTGCCAGCAGATCAGTTTGAATCGAGCAGCTAGCAGCAACCACAGCAAGCTTTAAAAAACCACATGCAACAAACTGCATGTATCCACGTCCTCTGCAAGCAAACCAAGTTCAGCGTGACATCAGTCACAAGTTATTACTTACTAAATTCTGTTTAAAAACCTTTGGCTACAGTGGAAAGAGATCCACCTGCTGCTGTTTGTTGTTTGTCTACCAAAGGATCAGCTCAACAATGATTTGTGTCATCACGGTAACGACAGGTGTCATCACCTCAGACTATAATAAGAAGGGTTACAACTTTAACATCAGGTAAAAATCAAACATCCAAAAACCTTTCTTCACCTGGGAAAGGTAGGACATTTATGCGTGTGGGTACTCATAAATTGATTGTTTGTCCTCTTCTAATGCTCCTTTCACATTTCATGGCTGCCCTCCTTTCAGGCCTGTGTCTCCTTTGAACGCATCATCTCAGAAACTCTAACTCTGCTGTTTGTCATGAGGCGTCAGGACAACACAAAACACCTCTAAAATGTACATCGTACTAGTGCTGGGCGATATGGAAAAAATATTTATCACGATATGAATTATTTTATGTCACGATAACAATATATATCACGATATACCACCTGACCTGTGGTCACCTGGAAAGTACGCAGTCTGTAAACGAGCGCAGAGGTCTTTGTTAATGACATGGATGGTTACGCTCATGTAGGGCTGCGTATCTCTGCTCGTCCATATGTCAGTCGTCAAGGCATAATGCACGATACTGCAAACATCCTTCTCTACTTTGGCCCGGCATGCGTCATATAAGCGAGGCAACTCGACTTTACTGAAGTGCTTAGGACCGGGCATAACATACCTCGGATCAAGGACTTTGACGAGGTCACGAAAGCTGTCCTTCTCAGCTACATAAACAGGGGCCATGCCTTTAGAAATGTACAAATGCCGTCTTGCATTTATAAATGCGAGACGGCTCCTGTGATTTGTTTATGGCGCTGGGACGTTTTCTCATACGGCGTGCCTTGTGCGAAAGACTGCTGTATCTTCAGCTGGTATAGTTTTTCTTTTCCCAACTTGCTCCCGTCGTTCCACAACTTGGTTTAGCTCGGATTTTCTGATCTTGAGTATTCTTTTTCGTGGACCTTCTGTAGGTGATAGAAGAGATTTGTTGTGTTGCCATTGAGTGCAGGAATAATTTTATAGCATAGCTTGCAAATGGGCGTCTTCTGCTCTGTGTTGGTGCTGTTGAACTCAAAATGTAACCAAATCACAGACGTACCCCCTCTTTTCGGTAAAAGTGCTTCTTCTTGGGCTGCTTGTGTAGCTGTGTCTGCCTGTTGCATGTCCGGGCATGAAACTGCAACCTGTCGCTCGTCCATCGTTTTGAGTTACTGTAAAGGATGTCGCAAATCCGGGTGCACGTAAAGCAGCACCATGTCGCAAAACCACAAGACGGAGTTTCTTTGTGAAAAATATTATTTTTTATACTTTATTTTCTCTTGCATAAAGTTAAGAGTATGTATAGTGAGAAGACAACACTAATATATTTGCCACAGGCTATTTAACCCTTTAAGACCTACCATAGAACCAAGTCTGCCAGAACTTATCTTTATATTTTTACATGCTGTAGTGCCATTTGTGGGAGCATTTCAAGTTGCTATACATCAATACAACTGTTATAGCCCAAATGTTAATAATACGTATGCATTAAGTCCATAGTAACTACATAAATTGCAGAAAAGTGCAAAAAAAATTTGAAAATTGTTTTTGGGGTTTTCTTTACATATATTTCTAGTTAGAGAAATTTAAGAGGTTTATCCCTCAAAACTGCAAATACAAAAAAGTTGCACAAAATAGTTTCCCACCACAGGAAATGTATTTTGAGTGTCTTCATAGTTTTATTTTTGAGATACACTAATTTTTATATACTGCAGGAAAAATGAAAATAAATATTATAATGCAAATTTGCAAAAAAAACAGCATGTGCATCAAAATAAACTATTTCCAACAGCGTAATTTGAGTTATAAGTGATACAGAAAAGCATAAAGTCAAACATGACTTTAAAAAAAACTCCAGCATAGGCTTATAAGGCCCTAAAGGTAAATAAAATACATTTTCTGTGAAAATGACGTCACTTCCGGTTCTGGCCAGTTAATGGCGGACATGTGATAGTTCGCACTGACGTCTATTCCAACGTAGGAAGTGTTATGAACAACTGATCGGATCGGCAAAGCCTGTTTCTGGAATATTATGTTTTTGTTGCTTGTTTCTTTGCAAAGCTATGTGTGGAAGGAAACCGTGACCGAGGACAAGCTGATGGCATCAGATGTAAGTACAACTCCTCCGGTTTCATATGCAAAAAAAATTATTGCGCTAGCTTACACGGTTCCGGTTTTACAGGGATTTACGCAAAACGGAGCGTGCTGCTCCGACCGGCTTTAAAGGGTTAATGATATATTTTATGTAATAATTTATAAAAATTAGGTTAGAAACGATAGAAAGGCACAATAGACACTTTTCTATTGTCCACACAATATATATCGTCATATCGCCCAGCACTACATCGTACACACGGACAAACAGAAAGACGAAGACGATACAGTCACACTAATGCTCTTTTTACTCGTTTGCTCTTTGCAGCAGAAGCAACAAGTCATGAGTGTGGATGAGTGTGGGCATCCAGAAGCAAGAGCACTTCATGCAAAGGAGGAGAGGAGATGAGGGAGGAAAAGCGTTTTTCTTCTATTTTCTTCTTTAAGGCAAACTAAAGTGACCACATGATGGAAACGCATATTGCATTAGTCTGAACGAAAGCCTCAATCAGCCACTGTGAGCAAATGAATATGCAGTTGGGCATAATGGATGGCAGAAGGTTATACAGCATTATCTGCTTACCTTTATCCACTATTGAGAGATTAACCAACCATGAGAAAGAGGTACAAAAAAGATCTTCTGTGAGACACTTGCTCCCATTTGCCATTGTGAGTTACCAGAGTCAAAACTGCAGCTCTTACCGAGTTCCTCGAGTTCAGACGTCATCGACTTTGAGCGCATTGACAGGGCTGTGGTGGGGGCTCTCTTTGGAGGTGGAGGAGCTGAGCAGAGAGAAACAGACATGTGACCAAAAGCAGGCAGGTCATCTGCAGTGATCTGGAGGCGTCACACCTTTTCAGGTAAATCTTTAATCGATCAGTCAAATTTCACTGAGGGAAAAGGATCAAATTAGAAATATTTTCTGATGATAGGAAAATATAATAGTATCAGAACAACACAGAGACAAAAGCAATATTCTGATCAGAGATTTTTGACAAACATTTAAAGGTTTGCTTATTTCCATGTGTAGATTTTGTCTAGTTTGTATTAAAACCACCTGGTCTGACCTCTCGTGTTTGCTGTTTGTATCCTAAGCACAGAGTTGGTCCGGTTTCTCATGGTCTTTGAGGGGTATTATTACACAGTCCTTCTTTCCCCCCCAACCAGTTTCAGTAGATGACCTCCCTGATAATGGCTTTGTTGGAGGTCTCTTCCTGTTGACCTCTAGCTGACCTCTGTTGGTCTCTAGCACTGTGACCTCACATCAAGGAGATCCTGCTTGGAGTTTTCATGTTTTCACCATGTCTCTCCAGCTTCCTCTCACAGTCCAAATTTATTATAAATTTATTGTAGGTATGAATCTGAGCGTGACCGGTCGGTCTCTATATGTGTGCACCCTGCCTCATGCCCTGTGACAGCTGGGATAGGCTCCAGCTCCTCCCGGGACCCTGAATTGGAAAAGTGGGAGCAAATGGATGGATGTTTGGATATTAAAGAGGATTTGCTTGACAACACATAGTGCGCTGAGATTTCTTCTAGCTATACAGATAATAGTGAACTAAATCATCAGTCAGTGTGTCCCTTTAATATTTTAATACAGGAGGTACATCTGTGATCAGGTTCACACAGCACTGTACTACAGCAGGCTGTATGCTACAGCTGTGCTCTGCTGCTCCTCAGCTGAAGCACCTCATGACGATTATATTCTCGAATCCATGTCTAAACACGACTGGCAGCCATTTTCAGTCCCTGTACCTTTTTTGCGTGCTGTGTCCTCGGGGTCCAGATTCCGGCTCACTGTCACCACCTTAATCAGGAGCCGGTTGCCTCCCTGGCGGATCATGTTGACCACCTGTCGATGGCCCACCTTCACCACATTCTCCTGGTTCACCTGCCACAAACAAACCAAAAGTTTTCTTATCCTGCATCTTTGCTCATGTTATTAACTGCGTATTTATGAACAGCACAAACACGTAAACACTGGACCGACACCTCAGCTTTGTGTGGGAGAAAACTGCTGCTCGTTTAAATCTGAAGATGCAAAATTCAATACAAGAAACTGTGAAAAGTGCAAGTATGGCTTCACAGTGCAAACCATCATTTTCTACTGGAAACCAACCAGACTGGTAAACTGTCTCTCCAGCCACCACATCCACTAGTTTGATTTAAAACGTTACTAAAATGTATTTTTATTAAACACACTGTGTAGACATATTTCAGGCAGTTAAAGCGAGTGAGTCTCTGTGCTAACAACTGTGCCATGAGCTAGTTTGAGTCAGATGTTCTGTCTAAGGACATAAATGTATAAATGAAGATCTACAAAGTTCGGTGACTGACCAGCACTGATCTTCTCTACAGCTGTGGCCAAAACTAATTTATTTATTTGCCATTAAAAGATTTTGAAACATATTAAATCCTTGTAATTCTTCTTCACAATATCATAGAAACGTGTATATAATGTTCTAAATTAAAACCTGCAAAGTGCATGAAAAACAAACTTGTGCCGTTGTCAAACCTGTTGAAAGACCGGCTGGTGTGAACCATTCCTCGATCACAAAAACTTTCATAGAATTATAAAAGCAGCTTTGAGACGCATGGAGCTGAAAAATGTTGTGTTAGTCTGCAAACCGAGAAGCTGTCTAAATGAAGGAAATTTAGGACTGTTGCTACGTTGCTTTAGGATTTGGAATCTGCAAAGATCACATAATTACAAAAACCACTCAAACACCTTTGGAACAAAATTCTGTTGAAAGCAAAATATTGAGCTTTGTGGATAAACGCTTGTCATGAGAAAACAAGATACAAATCCTGGTAATTACCCAGGGTTCACCCACGGGCTGCATACAATTCTCTTTACACTTAGCCTTAATCAAAGTGTCTTGATGCATGCTCAATCATCCAGGTAAGTAAATCCCAAAAGGTTGATTCTGTTCATCTGGACGTAGCTCGTCCAAAACCTCCAAAAAGTTTACATTTTGTCTCGGGGACTTTTGTCACAGATAATTTCCCCAAAAGTCTCGGTGATGATCAAGATGCTTTTGACATCTTGCCAATTTTTGCCAAAATCTCTTTCTTATTGCTGAATCATGAAAACTGACCTTAATGAATTAAATACTCATTCTGTATTCACAGGGGTTATTTTTAATGTATATTAAAGCTAGTTGGATGATCTGAAACATTCAGGAAAGGACAAATACTTTATTTCACAGCAACGTACAGGCCAGAGTTGTACAATCTCCTTCTACATAACAGTGACAGACAAGAGAACAGACTTCTTACACCCCTGTACGTCCAAATAAAAGACAATAAAACCAGGAAATTGATTAACAATTTTCAAAATAAGCAGCTGAAGGAATCAACAAAATCTTCATAGCTGCAATATTCATAAAGGAGCCTGGCTGCTGCCCTCTATGTTTCTCCATGTATACGTCATAAACATCAGCTCATATAATAATGGCTCAAGGACACGGTGAGAAATCTGAAGCTTCAAATAAAAACAAAGAAACAATTTGGACTTTTTGTTCTTGGAGGAAAGCTGTGATGTCTGTGACACAGCTGTGATGGTGGCTGTACAAAAAAGTTGGACTTTTAAAGTGGATTGTATTATTATACCAAAACCGCTAACTCCATCAGGGCAAGAGTACTGAATCACAGTTTGTTGCAATTTGTTATCGAGCACTTTAAGTCGGTATCAGTGCTGGATTTTCATTCTTCTCTTAAAGAGGAGAACGTTCCATACATCAAGCGAGATGCCCAGAAGATGGCTAGCTTTATATGTTAGTAAACATTCCCAGTGATGGATTTTGACCTTTATATTTCCACCTAAGACACCGAGCCATGGGGCAGCATGGCGGTGGGGTTGTTATCCGTTTCTCTGTGTTAGCACTGTGCCAGGGTGTTCCCCAGCTCTTGCCCTATGGTAGCTGGAGTAGGTGATCCTGATAAGGTTAAGTGGAAGAGAATAATTGGATAGTGAACCTGACTTTTATGCACTTGTTCAAGCACAAAACCGACTAGATTTCTCTCACCGAACATTAAACTATAAGCAAAAGCAGCAATAGTAACTCTACTATGTTAAAAGTGTTCAAAACTTTGTAAAATATGCAAATATATCTTGTCTGATTTTGAAATGTTGATTAAATAGTGATAAGTTATGTTAGCATTTTTACACTACCTATTTCACTGTATCTGTAAAATCACACTGATGATACTTTGATGTATAACTAAACACAATCATATCACAAACACCCCAAGATGTCAACTGAGCCTCCAAACTCCTCAGATCCGACTGCTCCCCTACCCATCTCTCAAACACCATCATAAAGTTCGTGGATGACACCACAGTGGTTGGACTCATCTCAAGGGGGGATGAGTCGGACTACAGAGATGAGGTCAACAGACTGACTGAGTGGTGTTCAGTTAACAACCTCCAACTGAACACCACGAAAACTAAAGAACTTATCGTGAAGGAAGGAAGGGCAGAGCAGACCCGGCCCCACTTTACATTGACGGGAGCTGTGTGGAGAGGCTACACTCCATGAGGTTTCTGGGCGTGCAGATATCTGATGACCTCTCCTGGACTGCAAATACTACGGCGGTGGTTAAAAAGGCCCAGCAGCGTCTCCACTTTCTGAGAGTGCTCAGGAGGAACAACCTGGAGGAGAG